GACTACTACCAAACAACACCAGAGCAGTAGCAAAAGCTTCCATCAAGGCAAAAATTGTAACCGGAACATATATCCTACAGTCCAACAGAGCTAAGTTCAACCAGCACACAGTCTCTTCAACCTGTCTTCTATGCAATGCTGCCAGTGAGGATAGATAGAGCACCTAATTCTCACTGCTCCACATACCAAGCCATCCGAGATAAACATCTAGATGCACTATACCAACTACTAGTCCAGTACTATAACCCCCAGATCGTCAGTAAGATTATGTGCAATTCGACTAACCTTTTACAGTGCCTGCTAGACAGTTCTAAGACTGAGATCTTGGACATTCTTGGAAAAAACAGTGGGATAACAAGTGATATCGAAGAGATAAGCAGGAACCTACTGATTTGATATTCACAACAGTAGGGCAGTGAACATATCTCGATTATAGACACTACTCTGATAATGACATTATTAGACATTTTTTAGAAATCTACCTGTCCTCACAGGGTGCTACACATCAAGACGATGACGTCTGCTTTCACATTCGGTCGTGGAAAGTGACAGATGCTGCTTTTCAAGTTTAATGTAAGTATTTCCGATATTATTTATGTACTATGAGATAGTTTTCGTATCATTAATACATAATATATTTATTTGCACAGCTACTATGCTGTTTTATCACATTTTTCATCCATTGAACTCTTCGGTCCTGACTGACATTTGCCCGCGATTAGGCCATTTAGGGATTACCGTTGATCAATATACCAGCTGGCAAAGTAATTTTTCTTGATCCATCTCTTGATAATAGTACCCAGTGGGAAATGTAGTTTGAATTTCCTCAAGCTAGAAAATTAACGAAATATTTGTACATGCATGGCAATAGAGATTCAAACACTGTCAAACTTATATAGAGTACTCAAACATAAAGAAATCAGTATAAAAGCATGTCGTGAGGAGATGTTCTTTTATGCTGTATTTTTTATACCATAGTGCTTTTCATGCACAAGTGGACACACTGACAACAACTCAGAATTCAACTTTCAATATTTAATTTTTAAAGATTTTTTTTAATTTTCATTACATCAAATACCATGATAAAGGTATTGGAAATCACCTTGATGAGGATATACTGCAGCTTTATAAAGCGATATACTTTATCAGAGTATTTTGCTGGACCTGTAACAAGACCCGTTCACTGCAGTGGTTATCAAAATCAGATTGTATGACTAATTAATTCATCACATCTCAGAAGTGCTAAATATATCAAGATTTAAGGAATCACTGATAATTCATTTATTCAAAGAGTATTTGCTATGGAGCAAACTGTAAATATCAATATAATAGCAGAGTTGATGGGTCTAATATCCAACACACAGACAAAATATCCCCCCCCCCCCCTTAAACTAGATAGAATGTTCTTTCATTAAAATGATAAATGTCCTACGGACCCGCTTTAACGATAACTGTGGTGAGGGCTTGTCCCGAGACACAGATTATACTGTAGTGAGGGCTTGTCCTGAGACACAGTTAGATTATTCTAACTGACCCTTAAACGTTTTAAATTCTATAAAAATATACAATGTATATGTAAAAAAAAATGATACAATCATCTTAAAAGAAACACGATTTTGACTTTGTTTTGTGACTCTTGAATTTTTCAAGTACTGTATGAAACAAATATAAGTTACTCACAGTTTTATATAAATTGCCGGCCCGTAAATGGCATGAATCTGTCCGACTGACATTTAATTTTGCACTGTACATAAGTCTTTACTAACATTTTTGAATGCATTTATCTCAATCTGTTTTATTATGGTTTTTGTTTCTGTTAGGTCAACAAATAATACATAATGATATATTTCGGAACTGAAATATTTCATTTACTGTAATTTCAGGATGCCTCGGTGTGAAAGAAACAATTTTAATTGCATATGTTGTTCCAAAAGAGTTAGACCAAGAGACAGAAAAAAGGTCAATAAGGATATATCAAGGTATTTACAGAAGAAGTTCCTAATATCTGCCTTGGACAATTCCATAATCTGTAACAGATGCCGACACAGATACAGGAAGGATAGGAAGGAACGCTCAGATCATCAGCAATCCATAACTACCCGGCTTCCAGAGAGTGATGATGAATATCAAATAAAGGCATCAGTACGCCCTACTCCAAAAAGTCCTCCATCTGTCTCTTTGCCAATTGCATCGACAGTAAAGAGCCACGCATACTGCTTCATCTGCAAAAAGCCAGGACCTAAGTTGGTTCAAGTGTCTTCAGCATGCCGGCTCTCAGTTTTCGTTCAACACAATATTCTTATTGAAGAAGGTAACAGATGCTGTCCAAATCATTTGAGAGATGGTGTTTTAACCCATGATTCATTGCAAAATCTTAAAACGACAGATCATGTATTTCTAAACAAACATTCTGTACTGGATCTCCTTTCCAAAATGCGACATCTTTGCCAAGTGAACAAAAACTACCGCCTTGATTTTGACAACAAAGAAAGTCTTACTAATGAGGATTACACTTCTTTGACTGGTTTGACCAAAGAGAACTTTCAGGATTTATATCAGATCATACATCATCATATAAAAAACACTCCATCCAGAAGTGTCAGAACAACTTTGGCTATATTTCTGTGCAAGCTGAACTCTGGACTCTCTAACAGATTTCTGGCAACATTATTCAATGTGACAAAATCAAGTCTAAGGAGAGCAATCAAAACAGTGCGTCAAGTATTGATGAACAATTTAGTTCCACAAAATCTTGGATTTCATCATGTGTCCCGTGAAAAGGTTATCAAAGATCATACACGTCCTCTGGCTGCATCACTCTTTGGAACCACTGGAGAGGAAGCAATTTTGGTTCTTGACGGAACATACATTTACATCGATAAAAGTTCCAACTTCCATTTCCAGAGAAGGTCTTATAGTGTTCATAAGGGTCGGCCTCTCTTAAAACCGATGGTGATTGTAACAACTTCTGGCTATTTTGTGTCTGTGCTTGGACCCTACCTTTCAGATTTCAAAAACAATGATGCATCAATATTAACACACATAATCAAGACCAATGTAGAAGACATCAAGAAGTGGGTTAAAGATGAGGATATTTTTGTGGTGGACAGAGGATTTCGTGATGCCATTCCTCTTCTTGAAGATTTGGGAATTCAAGCCGAGATGCCAAAGTTTATGTCTAAAGGCCAAAAGCAGTTGACCACAGAGGATGCAAACATGAGCAGATTAGTAACCAAAGTAAGCAAAATTAAGCTCTTGGGGTTCCCAAACTTTCTTTAATTGTCTTTTTTTCTCTTTCCAAAATACTTTTAATATCTGTCATATAAATGTTAGATAAAAAAAATCATTGATAAAATCTGTAGTTTATATTGTGACTGTATATGTGATCCTTAGCAGTTTTATATATACCGGTATTAATTCTTCAATTCTCTATGAATTCTGTATATAATAATTCTGATTTCTGCTATTTAATGTTTACAATTATAATGTATGATTTCAAAATACACAATAAATTTACAGCAAGTCAAGAGGCAATTTGGACTTAAATAAAGTTCTTAAAGTTGAATATTGAATTGAATTACTCTAAAGAACCCTAAGAAAAAAACATTTGGACCAGACAGAGAACATCATATCATATTAATAATTATTTTGGGAATCATGACATTTCATAAAGCTTGTAATAAATCATTAATTACTTTGATTTTCAGATTCGCTGGGTTGTGGAATCCTCTAACGCAAGGATTAAAAGATGGAAATATTTAAGTCACACATTACCTACAAATCAAATTCCATTTATTGGAGATTATGTGAAAATTGTTTGTGCCTTAAACAACAAATATTTCCCAGAGCTGAGCACCTGTTTAAGCCAGGAAGAAGATGAAGCCCAGGCAGCAAAAATGTTATATTTAGCCAAACAAGGAAACACCTTACAGGAGTATGTGGAAAAGAACAACCTTGGCCGAAAAAGTGCTATTTGGAAAAATGCTTCAGAGATAAACCTGAAAAACTTCCCAACTTTAGATGATGAACAGCTTAGAAACATTACTGTAGGAACATATCAACTCAAGTTGTCCGCAAGCTACATTCAAGAACATTTAGAAAATGACAGTTTCATACAGTTTCATGAGGATGACTCTCATTTGCTTCGTGTGAGAATTCAAAGCAGGCACATCTCATCAAAAAAGTATACACTTTGGATTAAATACAACGAGGCTTGTGTAGAATCTTGGTATTGTTTGTGTCCATGTGGAGCTAGAGTTGTCGGGATGTGTAGTCATGTTTCAGCGATCATATGGTATCTTGGAAAAGCCAGGAGTATGGATGGCAAGTCAGTTGGAGTACGTGACTGGAGTACTTGTGTCCTTGATGCCAGTGACATTCCGCCAGTTGTTGACCAGTCAGACAGTGAAAGTGAAAATGAATTAGTTGAAGAATAATAATAAATCAGTTGTTCTAATAATACATGCAAGTGTTATTTCAGGAGTTAAAATTGGGCTGTTCCAATTTAATGTAAACTATCAGATTTTTGAAATTTGAAGTTCATGTACATAATGGTAGTTTTGGAATTTCTTATTACTTGTAGATTAATTATGTTTTTAGGTGGGAGTGTTATTTCCGGGTTGGGGGGGGGGGGGGCACTCCACAAGTAAACAGTTACAATTTTTTCTTTTTACAATTTCATGTTTACTTGTCTGATTGTAACAAAAAGCTGCTCTACATGTAAATATTATTATTTTCACATGGATTTTATTATCTATATAAATATATGTATATTTAGTGAATTAGACCATTATTTCAATGACTGTAAAAAGAAAACTAGAAAAGGTTATAAGAATTAAATTTTTAAAACTCTCAAAGCATTAATTCTTCCATTCTTCTTTTTTGTTGACAGGATGAATCTTCTGGCACTTTATGACAATGGCTTTTAATAATTCTATTCAACTTTATTAAACTTTGTTGTACACATGCATAAAAATGTACAGAAAAGTATGTTATATGATCCCTATTCATTTCCAGCTTCAGCAAGAAGTATTGGGGTCACATTTACCTGGCTAGTTACTGAATCAAATCTCATCTTTCAATATACTGCTATAATGTTAGTGCAGGAGTTGGAAAATTTTCAAAACAGAAAAAAAGATTTATTTGTACTTTGATTACCACAAGAAGACAAAGTCAGATAACGAGATAAAAGGTCACTTTGTCTATCCATTTAGGAAGGCCTATTTTTACATTTGCTCACTTAACCCTTTTCTTTTCATTTTTTATGATATTGCTCTAAAATAAGGATCTGCTAGTCCCATGTTTACGAGCATTGTTGAAAACCCTTAATAAAAACTTTCAAATTCTTAAAGAAGGGCCTATTTTAATAAAATATAATTATATTAACTGTTATTATTATTTCCCATAAGTATTATTTTGACAGCAGGACGTGACAGCATATATAACGTCAACTGTCTATAAGTCATGACGTTCCTCTTTATGACGTTTTAGATTTCTATAAAAAAAAACAACACCAAACTTAAACGGCTGTAAAATGAAAACTAGAAAAGATATTATGAAAAAATAAAAAGTTTTATAAAATACAAATCCTATAGTATTAACTGAGAAAATTTTATTGATTTTGGTGACAGGGCATATTTTGGTAGTTTGTGGCTTAAGCTCTTTGACCCTACAAAATTATGTAATTTTACAGTATACATGTACTAGATATATACTTAAACTAAAATTGACTACGTTGGTCAGTGTATTGAAGGAATCACTGTTTAGTCACTGTGAGTATGTAAAGCTCGTTACACATAAATTATCCCACATTTCCAACTATTGTAATGTCCCTGGCGCACTCTTTTAACAAGACAGTAATTTCTGAAATTTCCATTTCAATGTGAAAAAGAGTTCCTGAAATTAAATTTTTAAAAAATGTTGTAGATTTAAATTACACAAGGCCTCCCATTTCAATTTCCATAGTCCTGGCCCACTAACATCAAACAAAAAGATAGCCACACTAGATTTACATGAATAAATGCTAAGACTACTTAGTGTAAGACACAAAGATGGATTATGTTTTATTTATATCAGTGATTTATCTGTTGTAGATCGGTAATAACTTACTTTGGATGACAGTGTATATTTATATCAGTGCTTTCTCTGTTGTAGATCGGTTATAACTTACTCTGGAGGTCAGTGTATATTTATATCAGTGATTTCTCTGTTGTAGATCGGTTATAACTTACTCTGGAGGACAGAGTATATTTATATCAGTGATTTCTTTGTTGTAGATCGGTTATAACTTACTATGGAGGACAGTGTATATTTATATCAGTGATTTCTCTGTTGTAGATCGGTTATAACTTACTATGGAGGACAGTGTATATTTATATCAGTGATTTCTCTGTTGTAGATCGGTTATAACTTACTATGGAGGACAGTATATATTTATATCAGTGATTTCTCTGTTGTAGATCGGTTATAACTTACTGTGGAGGACAGTGTATATTTATATCAGTGATTTCTCTGTTGTAGATCGGTTATAACTTACTATGGAGGACAGAGTATATTTATATCAGTGATTTCTCTGTTGTAGATCGGTTATAACTTACTGTCGAGGACAGTGTATATTTATATCAGTGATTTCTCTGTTGTGGATCGGTTATAACTTACTGTCGAGGACAGTGTATATTTATATCAGTGATTTCTCTGTTGTAGATCAGTTATAACTTACTGTGGAGGACAGTGTATATTTATATCAGTGATTTCTCTGTTGTAGATCAGTTCTAACTTACTCTGGAGGACAGTGTATATTTATATCAGTGATTTCTCTGTTGTAGATCGGTTATAACTTACTATGGTGGACAGTGTATATTTATATCAGTGATTTCTCTGTTGTAGATCGGTTATAACTTACTGTCGAGGACAGTGTATATTTATATCAGTGATTTCTCTGTTGTAGATCGGTTATAACTTACTGTGGAGGACAGTGTATATTTATATCAGTGATTTCTCTGTTGTAGATCGGTTATAACTTACTCTGGAGGACAGTGTATATTTATATCAGTGATTTCTCTGTTGTTGTAGATCGGTTATAACTTACTATGGAGGTCGGTGTATATTTATATCAGTGATTTCTCTGTTGTAGATCGGTTATAACTTACTCTGGAGGACAGTGTATATTTATATCAGTGATTTCTCTGTTGTAGATCGGTTATAACTTACTATGGAGGACAGTGTATATTTATATCAGTGATTTCTCTGTTGTAGATCGGTTATAACTTACTATGGAGGACAGTGTATATTTATATCAGTGATTTCTCCGTTGTAGATCGGTTATAACTTACTATGGAGGACAGTGTATATTTATATCAGTGATTTGTCTGTTGTAGACCGGTTATAACTTACTCTGGAGGACAGTGTATATTTATATCAGTGATTTCTCTGTTGTAGATCGGTTATAACTTACTATGGAGGACAGTGTATATTTATATCAGTGATTTCTCTGTTGTAGATCGGTTATAACTTACGATGGAGGACAGTGTATATTTATATCAGTGATTTCTCTGTTGTAGATCGGTTATAACTTACTGTGGAGGACAGTGTATATTTATATCAGTGATTTCTATGTTGAAGATCGGTTATAACTTACTATGGAGGACAGTGTATATTTATATCAGTGATTTCTCTGTTGTAGATCGGTTATAACTTACTGTGGAGGACAGTGTATATTTATATCAGTGATTTCTCTGTTGTAGATCGGTTATAACTTACTATAGAGGACAGTGTATATTTATATCAGTGATTTCTCTGTTGTAGATCGGTTATAACTTACTGTGGAGGACAGTGTATATTTATATCGGTGATTTCTCTGTTGTAGATCGGTTATAACTTACTCTGGAGGACAGTGTATATTTATATCGGTGATTTCTCTGTTGTAGATCGGTTATAACTTACTGTGGAGGACAGTGTATATTTATATCAGTGATTTCTCTGTTGTAGATCGGTTATAACTTACTCTGGAGGACAGTGTATATTTATATCAGTGATTTCTCTGTTGTAGATCGGTTATAACTTACTATGGAGGACAGTGTATATTTATATCAGTGATTTCTCTGTTGTAGATCAGTTATAACTTACTATGGAGGACAGTGTATATTTATATCAGTGATTTCTCTGTTGTAGATCGGTTATAACTTACTATGGAGGACAGTGTATATTTATATCAGTGATTTCTCCGTTGTAGATCGGTTATAACTTACTCTGGAGGTCGGTGGAGAATGAAGTGATCCCCACATGTCAGAAGTACGGGGTAGGAATCCTGGCTTACTCCCCTTTACAGCAGGGGCTGCTCTCGGGGAGATTCCTTAAGGTGGACGACGTTCCCCTCGGACGACGGAGAGGAAAACTCTTCTCTCCTGAGAGGTACATTTAGTCAAACTAAGACACTAGGTTTATTTTTTATTTTATGTAAGATATGAAATAGTGCCTGAATACTGTATACAGGGAAAATTTGCCCTTGTTTTATTTCTTCCCTTTTGCCCTCTTTATGAATGGATGAAATTAAATCAGGAAAAATTCAAAGAACACCATGTAATATTTTAAACAGAACTATGACTAGACAAATTTAAAACAGGACAAAATTTGTTCGCATGTGCAAAAAGGTGAAAATAACACGGGGCGAAAATAACCCTGTATGCAGTAGTTAGTCTAGTTCTGCGCATACCATCCATATAATTTAAACAAATAGAAATTTCTCCAAGAAAAAGAAATTAAAATACTTATAACAGTTACGAAATTGTTAGATATTACAGCACTGATTAGAAGTTAATATTGAATGCTTTTGATGATTTTATTTCAACATGTCCAAGTGTCTTTTCAAAAATTTCAATAAAATATCTTTCTTTCAATGCCTTTAAATTGGCAAGGCTAAGGCTTGTCAATTTGTAGAGTAAATTCTATGATTTTATTATGAAATTGTGAATTTTATACAAATTAAGTGAAAATAATCTTCAGTCAACTTCATTGAAGGATGTTTGTATTTTTTAGTTGTCATCTAGCAAGGCATGGACAAGAGGGGGCTGAGAAGGAAGTATTTGAGGTAATTAGACTGACCTCTCACGTAAGAATGGAAGAAATCTAACCGAGCATTTCATACAATTTTACAGATACAGTAATTGATACCTTCAATTGGCCCAATTGGTTCAATTGGTTATTTCACTAAGTAAGAGAAAATCGATCATTTTGACTGATTCCTCAATACCATACATTGTATAAGCAGAATTTTAAGCAAGTATTTAATTTTGGTGTTATTAGGGAGGGTATCTGAGATCGTTAAATCTGAATATTGCTTAAAAATAAATTGCGTTTTATTTGTAAAAGCTTCTTTATTGAGCATTGAAAAATTGTTAAAATTAAAAATAATACGAATTTTTAAGGATAAGTCTCTAAATTTGCGTCTTGCTAAAATTTCCACTTAGATAGTTTTCAGTGTAATACTATATTTAGTAATAAAGGTCAATTCCTTTAGAAAATGTTGTGTCAGATTTGATGAACTGATACACAACTATTTTGATTTCCTTGCAAATTCTCTTGATTTAAAGATAGATACTGTTATCCCCCCCCACCCCCTTTCCAATCAAAATATTCATAAAGCTGCTCAAAAATTAACATTTAATTAGGCTGATCTTAATAAACAGAATATTTCTTGTAAATTCTTGTTTTTAATTATGCAGTGCCTTTCTTTTGGATTTATTACATGTATTTCACTTTACATTTCATTTTCATTATTTCAGGCAATAGCTAAGATGAGTGATATATGTAAGAAGGCCAATGTCCCTATGTCTAAGGCTGCCTTATCCTGGCTACTGAACCAGCCCAATGTCCCTGTGGCCATAGTGGGAGCTAGGACGCCAGAACAAATGGTGGAGAACTGTGAAATTATTGACCTACCTCAGGTAAATTACAGCCTCACTCCAGACAGGTAAATTACAGCCAAATTACAGCCCCACTTCAGACAGGTAAACTACAGTCCCACCCCCAGACAGATAAATACAGCCCCAACCATAGGTAAATTACAGCCGTATCCTAAAACCAGTACATGTTAATTACAGTCCCACCCAAGACAAATTAATTAAAGCCCAACCCAAGACAGGTAAATTGCATCCCCAACTACAACTACATGTTTCAGACAATTAAATTACAGCCCCACTTAATGACATTGAGTCCAGTTAAGGAATAACTGTCTTATTTTTTGAATTCATGAAGTGATCAATGGATTGGCTTGTGTGATAATTTGTTTATGCATAAAATTATCACACAAGCCAATCCATTGATCATCTTCATGAATTCGAAAAATCTGACAGTTATTCCTTATATTTACATGCTTTGATTCCGCCAATCCACATGCTCCAAGCCTGCTTCTCTCTAGATGTTGTCCCGCCCTGCACATGGTTTTTTGGGAACCGTGCCAAAACATTCATGAGGAAATCAATTACGTTTACAATTGGTAATTTTATCTCGGACAAAGACATTGGAAATGTAAATATTGATAATTTTTTACAATTTATTATATGATTGAATAATTTCCATCTCTCTGATTGGCTGAGATCTAACTATGTTAGAAAAATATTACGTTGTATTGACCTGGACATGACGTTCCAGGTCAATACAAGGATTTATTTTACCCCACGCAACTAGTTGCGGGAGGTATAATGTTTTTGACTGGTCCGTCAGTCAGTCAGTCCGTCAGTCAGTCAGTCAGTCAGTCCTCTTTTTTTGTCAGCGCAACTCCTCATAAACCGCTGCACAGAATTTCGTCAAACTTTTCAGATATTTAGGACACAATGTGTAGATGTGCATATTACCAGGAAATTCCGATTCCATTATTTTTTCCGGGAATTTCCGTACTTTTAACTTAGGCATATGGCCATACCTTGAATATAGAGATGAACAGTTTGTCAGCGCAACTCCTCATAAACCACTGCATAAAATTTCGTCAAACTTTGCAGATATTTAGGACACAATGTGTAGATGTGCATATTACCAGGAAATTCCGATTCCATTATTTTTTGCGGGAATTTCCGCACATTTAATTAGGCATTTGGCCATACCTTGAATATAGAGATGAACAGTATGTCAGCGCACTCCTCATAAACCGCTGCATAGAATTTCGTCAGACTTTGCAGGCATTTAGAACACAATGTGTAGATGTGCAAATTACCAGGAAATTCCAATTCCATTTTTTTTTTCGGGAATTTCTGCACATTTAAGTTAGGCATTTGGCAATACCTTTAATATAGAGATGAACAGTTTGTCAGCGCAACTCCTCATAAACCGCTGCATAGAATTTCGTCAAACTTTGCAGATATTTTGGACACAATGTGTAGATGTGCATATTACCAGGAAATTCCGATTCCATTATTTTTTCCGAGAATTTCCGCACTTTTAACTTGGGCATTTGGCCATACCTTGAATATAGAGATGAACAGATTGTCAGCGCAACTCCTCATAAACCGCTGCATAGACTGAATTTCTTCAATCTTTGCAGATATTTAGGACACAATATGTAGATGTGCATATTACCAGGAAATTTCGATTCCTGTATTTTTCTGGGAATTTCCACACTTTCCAACTTAGACTTTTTGGCCATATTTTAAATATAGAGATGAAAAATTTGTCAGCACCACTCCTCTTAAACTGTTTTACACAGTTTCGTCAACCTATGCTGATATTTAGAACATATTCCATTTTTTTATCCCAAAGAGTTTTGACTATTATTCAAGAAAATTTCTCACCCCACCCCCAACCCCCCACTTTACATTAATGTGTGGATTTGTATATTGTCAAGAAATTTTGATTCCATTATTTATCTAGAAACTTCATTCCACATTTAAATGTCCTCATATGCAAGACATTTTAATGAGAAGATTTTTTGCAATTATTGCCCTTTTTGATCTATACTATGTATATAATTGCACTGTGCGTTTCATTATGTGTTTCACCGTCAAGTTTTGGGGAAGCGTGGGGTATGTGAGCTAGCTCACTTTTTCTTTCATTTACTCTACATTGATCTAAAAATAGATTGGGGAATTCCACATTGATACAAATTTTTTTAGAAAACTATTTAAACGAATATGATTTTTATTTTATGTGAACAAAACATAACCAAATATATATTTTAGATGAGGTTGGTTAAAAAGGGGATGCAGGAACTCCCCCCCCCCCTCCAACACTTTTACTGAACAACTTTTTTAAAACTTTTTGGCAGTTAGTCTTCCCTGATAATACTCCTTCCTTTCAAAATCTATCCTATAAAAAGACTGACTTTATATATTTCTTTCATGGCTACTAAGATTCATTCTTAAAAAAATTTCAAGTTGATACGACTGGTAAGGTTTATTAACATTTTAATTCTGCTACTCTCTTGTATTTGGCTAGGACTTTAAAAAAAAGCAAACAAATAATGAGCTGTATCATATCATCAGTGAATCATATAATAAAACAATTATTGCTGTTTTTTCGGTCAATACAATGATTTAGCCATCTTCGAAGTACAATATTCACCTTGCCCTTCAGGCTCAGTGAATATTGTACTCCTCATATGGCTTAATCATTGTATTGACATCAAAAACCATTTTTTTAATTTTTTCTATTTTTATCGCCTTCAGAAGGAGAGCTCTACATAAATTATGAAATAAAATGATCAATTTTTAAAACTAAAATTTGTGACAATTTCTCTTTGACAAATGATAGTTGACATATCATATCTAAAAAAAAAATAATTTATATCTGTTGGTTAATTTTGTTGACCCTCTAGCTGCCTTAAATCATTGTCCTAAGATGAAGTTTGTGTTTCACTGTAACTGTTTTTCTTCAGAATCTTCCTCAAGTTGTTGAATTTATTTCCTCAGTGTTATGTCAAAGAGAGACTATGTATGTATGTATACTAGTCTAATGCTTAAATAAAATTTATTAATTATGTCGTTGAATTAACTAAATTATTAATTATCTTGTAGAATGTCATTCAGGAGTTGACTGATGCTACAGAAGCCGTGAAGAAGAAGATCGGGAATTCCATTGACCAGTGGGCTCACCCAGATCGCTGTGAATGATTGGACACTATATATAGTTCAGGACTCACCCCGATCGCTGTGAATGATTGGACACTATATATAGTCCAGGACTCACCCCGATCGCTGTGAATGATTGGACTCTATATACAGTCTAGCACTCTAGAAATTTTTAATTGTTTTAAATTTACGCAGCTTAGTTGTAGGTAATGGGAATTCTGAATGGCATAAAGTTGTAATGAGCAGTATTATTATCATCTAATTGTTAAATCATTCAGCAAATTTAATATTTGTGACAGTTTATTTGCATTTTTTTTTTTTACAATATGCATGTACACATTGGATTGTACACTTATGCACTTGTACATGTTAATGTAGAAAACTAAATCATGATAAAAATTTGTATACTAATTTTTAAGAATGAAAATAATTGATAATTATTTTAATCATTAGTCTAATTAGATAGGAAACATGCAAAGTCAAATCTTCTATGAAGATGATTCTGGTGATATTATACATTTATTGACTGAGTTCGAGGGCAACATGCGTTTTTTCGGACCCAAGAACCAAACTGTCTGCCTGAGGCCTAACGGCCTCAGGCAGACAGTTTGGTTCTTGGGCCCGACAAAACGCATGTTGCCCGAGAACTCTGTCAATAAATGTTTTGTTATACCTTTCATTTTATTTAAATTTTTTAGAAATACAGGTTTTTTGTGCTGTATTCCGTGTTGTAACATCAAATCTGTCACTGTTTAACACCAACCAATGAAAATCAGATTAAGCTCCGCCCATTCTGTGACGTAAGCGGTCCAACATCTCTCCGAGCGGTCCAACATCTCACTCAGCGGTCCAACATCGATTTTTTTATGCCCGCTCAGCAAAACATTAAAAATGTTGGACTTTTTTCCGTATAGATTTGTATAGGAACTAATTTGTAAAGGTATAACAATATGAATTGATTGCACTTTTTTCAATGTTGATCATAAAGAATATTGAAATGAATAAATGTGATTTTATTGTCGAATGGTGTGTTTATGTTTTGTAATGTGCATACCTGAGCAAGGAACGGTAACTCTTGAGACACTGAATACTGGTACTTATTTAGTCAAGGAAAACTTCAATACGGATTGATGTTTAACACCTAATAACAGCAATAACCTATACTGACTGGGTAATAGATTTAGATTGGACTCAAAACACTTGTTTTAACTAGGATTATTATGGACTCTATTACAGCGAGTATAATATGTTAACCATTGTTTGGCGGAAAAATATGTATTTCCCTAACATTCAAACAGAATTTTTATAGTTTTGATTTATTTATTATATTTTTAACTTTATTTATATACAACAAGATTAAAGACAGACATTTCCAACATCAACAATTCTTTAAGTTACTAAAAATATTATTTACAAAAAGTTTGCTTTCTGTCCTTGCACCAAATATACATAAACATAAAGATTGAGATCACGTGATCACTGAGTTGCTAGTGATTGGTTCTCTGTCATGTATTTAAATTTGATCCAGTCCTCCTCGTTATAAAACATCAGGGATTCCCGCGGGATAGCGGGCGAGTCCTGGTCGTGGAACCATTTGTTTCCCGCGGGCAGGAAGTACCCCGAGCCCGACCACTTCTTAGTCCAGGCATTTTCGCGCCACGGAAGTAGTGTGGGGACCGGAACTCCGGTGAAAGCTTCCGGTTTTCCAGACATCGTGATTCCTGGAATAGAAATAGATAAGGCTTGTTTAAATTCAGTCCATTCTTTTCATACTTGCTACACACAGGTAAAATTACAACACGAAGTCCGTTAGATGTAACACATGAAGGTCAAAGTACTTTTCCAAAGTTAAAAGTTGAAGCGTACAGAAGAAATTGGATTATACTTTGCTTTGAGCAAATTATTGTGAAAAAATATGCATGCAGCTTCTTTTGTCTTGAGATAGTAAGGACTGACTTTAGCTACTTGACTTAGTTATTATCACGATAAAACAGCACCTTTCTTTTTTGTTGTCAATGCTTGGCAATCCATAATGATTGTTTAAAACAAACATGCCATTTATTATTCTGTGATAAATATGAATTTACTATAGCACTGTGAATTTTAGGAATTTTTCCCATCAAGCTATACATGTATGAAAGAAATCTAAAAATAGTATGTGTAATCTTTTCAGATTTTTTTTTTTGACAACTTAACATCTTTTTCAACAATTTGTGATACATGTATAGATGCACTAGCACGAAGAGAGCCAATAAGAGACCATGCACTGTCTCATCTACTCAGTACTTATGTTCACTGTACTGTATTAACTGACTATAGCGACCTAATTACCATCTATAGAATTTTATTTTTAAGATTTTAAAACGTGATATTTAGAAATGGTTTTAATTATTTTCTGCTCTAGCATATGAAATATAACATAATATAATATAATTAAACTCTCTCTTTTTTTTAGTTTGGAGGAGGGGGGGGGGGTACATGAAAGTGAATTTTTCACAACACTGTATCAACTTCACATTCTCCGTCTTACCCCCGGGCTGTGTTTATCTCTCTGTTGCCTTACCCCTGGGCTGTGTTTATCTCTCTGTTGCCTTAGCCCCGGGCTGTGTTTCCCTGTCTCTCTGATGCCTTACCCCCGGGCTTTGTTTATCTCTCTGTTGCCTTACCCCCGGGCTGTGTTTATCTCTCTGTTGCTTTACCCCGGGCTGTGTTTATCTCTCTGTTGCCTTACCCCCAGGCTGTGTTTATCTCTCTGTTGCCTTACCCCGGGGCTGTGTTTCCCTATCTTTCTGTTGCCTTACCCCCGGGCTGTGTTTCCCTATCTCTCTGATGCCTTACCCCCGGGCTTTGTTTATCTCTCTGTTGCCTTACCCCCGGGCTGTGTTTATCTCTCTGTTGCCTTACCCCCGGGCTGTGTTTCCCTATCTCTCAGTTGCCTTACCCCCGGGCTTTGTTTATCTCTCTGTTGCCTTACCCCCGGGCTGTGTTTCCCTGTCTCTCTGATGCCTTACCCCCGGGCTTTGTTTATCTCTCTGTTGCCTTACCCCCGGGCTGTGTTTATCTCTCTGTTGCCTTACCCCCGGGCTGTGTTTCCCTCTATCTCTGATGCCTTACCCCCGGGCTTTGTTTATCTCTCTGTTGCCTTACCCCCGGGCTGTGTTTATCTCTCTGTTGCCTTACCCCCGGGCTGTGTTTATCTCTCTGTTGCTTTACCCCGGGCTGTGTTTATCTCTCTGTTGCCTTACCCCCAGGCTGTGTTTATCTCTCTGTTGCCTTACCCCCGGGCTGTGTTTCCCTATCTCTCTGTTGCCTTACCCCCGGGCTGTGTTTCCCCTTCTCTCTGTTGCCTTACCCCCGGGCTGTGTTTAACTATCTCTCTGTTGCCTTACCCCCGGGCTGTGTTTATCTCTCTGTTGCCTTACCCCCGGGCTGTGTTTCCCTATCTCTCTGTTGCCTTACCCCCAGGCTGTGTTTATCTCTCTGTTGCCTTACCCCCGGGCTGTGTTTCCCTATCTCTCAGTTGCCTTACCCCCGGGCTGTGTTTCCCTATCTCTCTGTTGCCTTACCCCCGGGCTTTGTTTATCTCTCTGTTGCCTTACCCCCGGGCTGTGTTTATCGCTCTGTTGCCTTACCCCCGGGCTGTGTTTCCCTATCTCTCAGTTGCCTTACCCCCGGGCTTTGTTTATCTCTCTGTTGCCTTACCCCCGGGCTGTGTTTCCCTGTCTCTCTGATGCCTTACCCCCGGGCTTTGTTTATCTCTCTGTTGCCTTACCCCCGGGCTGTGTTTCCCTATCTCTCAGTTGCCTTACCCCCGGGCTTTGTTTATCTCTCTGTTGCCTTACCCCCGGGCTGTGTTTCCCTGTCTCTCTGATGCCTTACCCCCGGGCTTTGTTTATCTCTCTGTTGCCTTACCCCCGGGCTGTGTTTCCCTATCTCTCTGTTGCCTTACCCCCGGGCTGTGTTTATCTCTCTGTTGCCTTACCCACGGGCTGTGTTTCCCTATCTCTGTGTTGCCTTACCCCCGGGCTGCGTTTATCTCTCTGTTGCCTTACCCCCGGGCTGCGTTTATCTCTCTGTTGCCTTACCCCCGGGCTGTGTTTCCCCATCTCTCTGTTGCCTTACCCCCGGGCTGTGTTTATCTCTCTGTTGCCTTACCCCCGGGCTGTGTTTCCCTGTCTCTCTGTTGCCTTACCCCCGGGCTGTGTGCATCTCTCTGTTGCCTTACCCCCGGGCTGTGTTTATTTTTCTGTTGCCTTACCCCCGGGCTGCGTTTCCCTGTCCCTCTGTCTTTGGTACGCTACCCACTGCTCCTCTGATTCCATTAAGATGGCGTCCCTCCTCGTTTCTCGGGGGAGTGAGCGATATTCATGGAATTTTATCCAGCGGTTCTCCGAGGGGACGTAGTAGGCGGGGCCTCTATACACGTGGGACTTCCCGTCCCCCGCCAGGTAGTTATGGAGGGGCGTGGCGTTATACGGACCCCTTAGTCTGACGTCAGTTCCCGCGCTCGTCGCATATTCAGGTCGGTACATCGCCGCTGATCCTGGGATAAAATTAATAAAAATATATAAATTTAAAAGAACACTAAAGAAATAACAAAAGAAATAACGAAACGAATTTCATAAATAAGTTAAGCAAATAAAAAAAAATCATTTAAAAAATTCAAAAGAATGAATTACTGCAATTTTATTTTAGTGAATGTGTAAAGGTATTACACTTATGAGTATGTTTAATGTTTGTTTACTTTTAATTAATATGTCCATTCACCGTCCCAATCGTAATCTACCATTCCCTTCACCGCCCCTTCCCTTCCAATGAAGAAGAATTTTGTAGATGTATAAAACAGAAGGATCTTTGAATTAAAGCTACACGTAGAATAAAATTCAACATCTGAAGCATTGACTTGCAAATTAATAAATAGATATCTGCAGTTAAAGAGAGTGTACATATAATTGTTAAAAGGCTCTGCCTAACATGAATTTAAATTTCACAATGAATTTCTCATTAACAGTGCAGAACTATTTCTCGTACATATATCATGTTAACCTGGCTGTTACCATTAATAAACTAAATACGTATATACAATCATCAATCATGTACTATATAGTTAGCTAATATATATTGTTTATCCATGATTTATCAACAATAAAAAAAAAACATTCACATATATCAGACACGGTAAGAAGAAAATTGCAGAGGATATCTGATATCATTTTCCTAAGATTTAGAGATTGGCCCTATACAGTATATAAACATACTATCATTTTCATGTAGTGTTGTGCCGAATAAAAATTCCCAGAAGCGGTGGGGGGGGGGGGGGGGTTACACCATCCATTCGTCAGGTGCTGTGGTTTTATAATAGTTCATAAATATTATCCCCTACACCCCCCCCTTGTTTTAAAAAAAATGGCTCACGCAGCTCATACTTTTTCATGTGATCAATGAAGTGTCAAAAATGAAACGACCAACCCCTCCTTTTCAAAGCATACCCTTCATAATGCCCATGTATTCACCATAAGAACAAATAATTAATTGTATAGATGTTATCCGTTAATTAAACAGTTACAGGGAGATAAGACAAAGTAAGATATATTCACCGTTTTAAATGGAATGCTGTATATATAGTCGTCTCAATATCGCATTATACGCACCTGGCCTAAACCGGATGTTTACATCGAGATACACGCTTGGTAACCAGATCAATACACCTGTGTGTTTATTTACGTCCAGCTCAGGTAGGGAATTTTAAACGGTCACTTTGTCCCATGTAAGTTAATTGGTACTCATATAGATTTATGTATATGGTATTTGTGAGTTTATTCTTCTTTTTCTTGTTAATTTTTATTTTAGATTTCCTGTCAATTTTCCCCGTACATCTTTTACCTGCCAAGTACCGTAACTCTGGGTTTTTTTAAAGTCAAGATAAATATTTGCTAGTATCGTATTATATCAGAGTTAACTGTTAGAAGATTCTGAGTACATTTGTTTAAGGAAAATGAAAAGATGGCACTGAAAATAAAGATCGATCGTGCATTGTAAGAGCTCGGACTTTTTCTTAATCACGGACCAGTTCAGATTCTGAAATGGGGGGGGGGGGGGGGGGGGGGGGGTCGGGAGGCCGGGGGTGGTGCATGTATGGAGTTAAATACATCCGAGTATTTTAGTTTGATATGCTTACCGTTCAATATACTACTTTATTACCTAATCAAGTGAATTTTGTTGTTTTATTAGAGATTTAATATTTTCATCTATTCTGTATGTGTTTTCAGTTTTTCTTATCTTTTCAAAGCGATCTATTGACCGGTCAATAGACCGATCAGTAGAACGCGCGTTCTATTGACCGGTAACGTATTTTGAATAAAAAAAAAAACGATACGGGTTTCGAATTTAGTGTTGTTTGTAACAATGCACAGACATGGTAATTAAACAATCATCTTATTTGATCTTTCGACATTGGTATAAAAAATTGTATGATTTCAATGGAAGGGTATTTTATTTACTGAGAGTTACTTTAATTATAATACACTGTGGGAACGTTGAGACCGTCCCGTGTAGCAGTAGATGCTCTGCTGGCACGAAACAGGTCCCTCTCCACCGGGAAATGGTGATGTCTCCATAAGAGTGAAAAATGTTCAAGAGGAATGTAAACAATATCTTTACAATCAATCTTTAATTAATAATACAGTACATTCACAATATGGAACGGGAACCTTCTGTACTGAATATACAATTGTGAACAGTCTTAATACGGAAAATAAAATTAGGTAATAAAACAATTATTTAATGCCTGAGCTGGCCGAGGGCAATAGAACACACTGAGCTGTTCCTTGCAACGAGGAAAAAAAAGGATGACTGCACTTAAGGAAACTTAGAAATTGCGACATAATCAATTTTAAAAATGGGTATATTTCTTTTAATGGTAGAAATGGCCAATGTCTTAACTGCAACTTTTTGTAATTACGTTAATTAAAAGTTCTTATTAACGAAGTTCGAAGTCGTTTTTATTGGGAGGGGTCATCGCATATTCTGGAATCTCCATAGGATAATGAGTACGCCCACCTTTTTACAGGCTTAATACATAGTCAGCGCATGTTTGTCTATTGTTCTCCTTTTTATGGTAGTTGTATATTTATATAATATTACCTCATATTCAAAGTAGATAAATAGACAAACATGCGCTCATGGTTAAAAAGAGAAAAAAACTGTTTCTTCGTGTGTTCACTTTCTCTATAGTAAACAGGCCATTTTGACCACGTTGTTACCTGTTGAATATTATAATTAACCACGTGATTTTTATACCCAGGTAACTCTGTGAATACTAAAATTCCATCACGTGACGTGTAAGGAAACACGCATTCTGTTGGGCGATAGTGATTGTCCATATCTGTCTCAATCCATTCCCATCGAGCACGGGATATTCATTTTTCTCTTAGATATCTGTAAGATTATTCTAATATTTATCTCAAAATCATTTCTTTTTACTATCTTTATATATTTTTTGAGTGCATTATATGTCTCTACATGTTCATAGTCTTCACGAAGATAAAAATTCATTTACAGATGTATATGTTTTGAACCATTGTTTATTATGAACATCTAAAGTAAGATCCAGTAAATAAAATTGAAATTCCCCAGCACGCTAATTGATAGGGAAAAGTAAATTATAAATTATAAAAGAAACTAATTTTTTTTTAATAGTAAGTGTGATGTTATTCTTTCTTTTTTATAAAAGGGAAAAATAAAGTAAGCCTTACTGCTGTTAGCGGGTCTCGATCCCGGACCTGAATATTATTGATTCTGTGCAATACCGACTGAGCTAGTCGGCACTTATATTCGAACACGCAAATTGTTGACATCAGCCATTGCTTTTGATTATCAATGAGAATGACTACTTCTACCGGCCGATGTTACTTAACGCCGGATTTTGGGTCTTTTTCAATCTCTGTTTTCACATTTATTTTTGTTTTTATTTTTGTCGGAAATCATTTGTTATAGAGTTTGGTCTATTTCCAAATGAAATGCAATGTCATGAAGGTTATAAACTGCGTTGAAATAAAATAATTCGTTGTTTCCTTACCCCACCTCTCTGCAAATATCGGGAAATTAGATTTATCTGCCCTTTAATGAAGATAAGATTTATAAATATGCATAAGAGGTGGAGCTAATATTGTTATGAGTGGTCTAAAATTAGAATAGTTACTGTATTTATATTTATTGCTCTCTCTCTCTCTCTCTCTCTCTCTCCTCATATGTTTGTCACTTTTATTGCCTGACGTCACGGCGTCAGGCTGTATAAGGATTGATATTTCCAAGGTGCGAAGCGAAGAGGTCACAGTTAGCCAGCAAAATTTTGTGCATGCTGATTATCACTGGAATTTGTTACCTCCGTTTCAACAAAACATTTAGCAGAAAAAAATAACCGTCTTACTTATACAATATATTGATGTGTTTATTTCCTTTAGTTTTTTTTGCATGCAGCTGTTTATTTCATGCGATTTCATATACGGATATGTCCGTTTGACCTTTTTTCTGCGTTTCTGTACTATTGGATGAGTCCATTTGTCTTCTAGGTAAGGGGTGTCACAATCATTTTGCGCCAAATGTCACGTGTATATTTTCGCGCCCTTTTCCTGGATGATTCTATTGCACTGAATGGAAATGAAAACTTCAAGTCTGTTCTTTGTATCGGAATTTCGAACTTTGGAAAAAAAAAACAATATCGGTGATATTGTGAAAGAAGTTAGAAGTTACATCATTTAAAGTAATTAAAACGAAACGGAAAAGAGTTCTTAAGAGGAAAACTTGCCAAATATACATAATATTTCTGATCATATCTCGCCCGGACTCGCAGTCCCCCCCCCCCCCCCCCCCCCTCCCAGTTTTCAGAGATAAAATTCTTTCTCCTGTGAAACACAGAAAAATAAACTTTTTATATAAAAAAAGTGTCCCTCATATTCTAGGATTGAGGAATATAAGGAATCAACGTCAAGTTCGTTGGGTCATTTATGCGTAGCGGGCTGTTTCCAACAATCGTTGATGCTCTGGCATACCAAAACAATCTAGTACTTAAACATATTCTGCATGTTAATCATAACGATTCATTTATTTCTTGTAGTTATCATATTCTCAGCTGTCTTCCCGGTAGTCTATGCAGTTGAATCTAATTCTAAATTTTAATTTTAAAATTAATATATAACCTTTACATAGGCACAGCTTTCCAGCATACATTAATTTATTTGTTCATTTCCCTTACTTAATTAGTACATCTTCTAAATTCATTTATAGAGTTGCGGAATGAGGAGCTGAGCTTTACGTCGCGTGTTCGAATCCACTGCAGGACGTGGAGATCGGTCCTTAGGAGACCGTTTAAAACCAAGTCCCGAGTCGCAGTAGGTGTTAGCAAGAAAAAGATTACATGAAACTGCTCATCGGTCCTGAGTTCCAAGTATTTGTAACACTGCACAGGCGTCATTATACCACAAACGAAAAACAGATCAAAACCAATTTTTAACACATACAAAATATACCTTTTAAATAAAATCTCACTGTTCCTTTTCCGTCAGACACGTAGCAACAGGAGGGGGGCTGCCCCCCCTTTTTTTCCAAACCTTACTTTTACTATATATAGGAAATGTTAATTGAAAGGTTGGATCCCCTCTGTATATAACAGGAAATTTATTAAATGGAAATGCAGTATTTAATGCTAAAAAAATGGTACAGAAAGACCTTGACACTAAAAAAAAATTGGTCACCCCCCTTTCCCCCGAAATAGGATTTTCAACTTTGGGCATTTCCTTTTATTCTGCAGATGAGTGAAAAAAATTCTCAAGCTGCCCCCCCCCCCCACTTTCAAAAACGAGGCTCTCCATTGCTTTCATAAGTAGCAAACAACTGAAAATAATTGCATGATGTTTTGTTCGACGTCTTCATAATTTACTCTAATGGAATAATTACCCCTCACCCCAATGTAACGTTTATATATATATAACTTATCATGATTATAGGTTCTATAGATATTGATTGCTTTAGTCAGGCAAGCTTTTTTGAAAAGCTATTACTTGTTATCTTTTAAGTTTTCAAATAAAGTATATAAGTAATAACAAATAACATCGGTCGGTAGAAGTAGTCATTCTCATTGATAATCAAAAGCAATGGCTGATGTCAACAATTTGCGTGTTCGAATATAAGTGCCGACTAGCTCAGTCGGTATTGCACAGAATCAATAATATTCAGGTCCGGGATCGAGACCCGCTAACAGCAGTAAGACTTACTTTATTTTTCCCTTTTATAAAAAAGAAAGAAAAACATCACACTTACTTTAAAAAAAATTAGTTTCTTTTACAATTACTTTTCCCTATCAATTAGCGTGCTGGGGAATTTCAATTTTATTTACTGGATCTTACTTAAGATGTTCATAATAAACAATGGTTCAAAACATATAAATGAATCTCTATCTTCATGAAGACTATGAACATGTAGAGACATATAATGCACTCAAAAAAATATTAAGATAGTAAAATGAAATGATTTTGAGATAAATATAAGAATAATCTTATAGATATCTAAGAGAAAAATGAATATCCCGTGCTCGATGGGAATGGATTGAAACAGA